AAAGTTTTACTTGATACTCCTCAGTGGCAACAAACAACCACACAAATCTTAACAAGTCAAGGGAAGAGGAAAAATAAAAGCATTTTTTTTCTTCCACAGTTCACTCCTGACCTTGCCAAAAAAAAAAAAAAAAAAAGAAAAAAAAGAAGAACAGATGGATTATTGGTTGTATTACAGGCAATGTGCATTCTGTAAAAGAAAGACAGATTAGGTTTGCATTCTAAGGAAAGAGCCATTGCCTCATAATTTCTGCTTATTTCTTAATTGTCAGCGGTTTGTAGTAGATATGATTATTTCTGAAGCATATATTAGCTTTTTTTTTTTTTTTCAGACAAGGTCAACCCAACAGTACTTACACCCAAATGAACTTTGTGTGCATTAACCAAATTTGTCAAAGCCCTAAAAAGCAGTGTTCAGAGTGGTACCCAAGAAATTACTTAATAAACCCAACTGCTAGATTAACTGTCTTAAACCTCTTATGACCTAGACACTGGGATCCCTCTCTTGTAATGCAGGTATTACACTTGTCCTTCAATCAGCTGCTTAATATTCCTGCACTAAGAATTTATACAGAAACTATCTGCCAAAGTCTAAATGCTGCTGAACAGTTGAAAAGGAGGGAAATTTCCATGAGAAGATCATTAAGTTGTGTTGAGCAAACCAGTTGTGTTGGTCAGTGGTGACCACACAGGATTTTGCTCTTCCCAAGAGAATAAAAAGGGCATAATGTCAACAATCAAGAGGAATTCCCACTGCTGCCTCTGACTGCAATGTCTCTCCAGGTTGGGCATTGAGAAGATAGGCTAGAAAGGATATTTTCTGGTAAACATACATGGCAGTAATGAATTCTTCAAAGAAAAAAGAAGTCGCATGGAAATATCAGGCACCACAGAGCAGCTGGAGCTTCAGTGCTGAAGAACTTGAAAGGAATGTACATTGAAGATAAAATCCCAACTAATTGTATTGCTAGAAGGATCTCACATACATGTCTTTTTTCCCCACTTGGCCAGCTTTTTGGGAAGACAGCAGCTGCTAGAGAAATTGGAAGAATTTGTCAAAGTTTTGGTGGTCACAACCAGAATGAATTGCTGCGACCTGGCCCCCAGCTCCATTTGGATGACTGGCATAATGAAGACAATGGTATGTGCCCACTGCTGCATGCTGAACAGGAAACTTCAAACCACCCACTTCACCATTCAGAAGGGGTTCTGAGAAGTGCTTCAAATCAGAGAGGTGCGATAAAGGTGGTGGATACTTCACAGGAAGCATTAAAAGAAAGAGCTGTAGATCTATCTGAAGGCACTGCCACCCAAGTTTCATGTCTTGGTTTCTAAGGAGAAACCTTAAGGAGAAACCTGCTCTGAGCTCTTACCCAGTGTGCAAGGGAGATTTCAGCCCTGAATTCAGTGGGAATTAAGAGCCTCACTGCATTGGTGCTGAGCTAAAATCCCTTGCCCAGACTCTTCCAACACCAGCTCCAGTCAAGATGCAAAGATGATGCCTGTCAGTAGGGCAGCTGAGGCATGACCCCCATTGTCAGAAGTGATATTATCAAATAGGCCATTTGGAAATCGTTTTGTAGAGTTGCAGTTTCAGACTCTGGGAGGCCAAAATCACTTACACAGTCTGCTTCAGAGAATCTAATTAAATACTTTTATCAGATTAATTATCCTCTGAAAAATAATTATGATTTAGGAGCTTCATACCCCGTCTGCAGGGAGAGCCAGCAATAATGAATAAATGTTACTTCTCTGAAGGTCAGTTTTGATGGCATTTTGACATGTAGAAACTATCCAAACACAGTCAATACAAAGAGGTTTCTTTGCTATATTGTGACCTCCTGAACTCAGCTAGAGAAGATTAGAATTTCCCACATATTCCTATGCGTTTGGGGAGGTGCTATCAAAGACAGACAAGGATACCACAATTCAGGCCTTTTGGATTTGCTGCAGGCAGCAGGAGAGTTGGTGTAACTAATCTCTTCCATGAAATAGGAGAGGAAAGGTGCTCTAGGAGACAATTTTCCCTACTTTCCTTTTGGCACGGGTGCCTTCCCACACCTCCTGCCTGCAGATGACTGGAAAACAAACTAAAGCCAGAAGGCCATGACTCTTTCTTAATCTTTCTTAATCTGAAACTATGCCATGAAACTCACCAGTGACCTACAGACAATGAGCCAAACCACTGTGGCTCTTTACCTGCTCATATCATTTGTGCTGGCCATTCTCCTGATGTCCTTCTCCCAAACAAACACACTCCAAAGTTCTCCTTGTAGGCTAAAGCATTGCAACCCAGCCAGGGAAGAAACGGATCTCACCCATTCAAGGTTATACACGTTGTGTTTCCTACTTAATTCCCTACATATTGCTTTTAATCAATCTGTAGATTTCTTTTGTCAGTCGTAATTAGAGAGGAACATTTCCTTCTCCAGGGTGTAGTTGTGCAGCATAATGCTTTTTATTAATAGATGAGGGGGAGAGCACAGAATGTGGCCATCTTG